CCCCAAAACCCCAAAACCCCAAAACCCCAAAACCCCTGGAAGTTTTAGTAACATTGAAAATTAATATTTAGCTAAAATGAAAGCCGAAAACACTCTGAAACCTATCCATCCAATTTCTCGATCCCTCAAAAGTTCTTGACTTTTCCGAAGGTTCCTTAATATCGCCCCAGATTTCTTTTGCCTTACTATACCTAAGGTTTTTAAGACTTACATTCTTACAGCCTCTCTCGATAATTTGTTGCCTCTTTTCTGTTCATAGTTAACCCATTTGGCAAGCCTTTCCTCCATAAGTGGATTATGGCCTCTCTTTGCAAAGTTTTTCCTCCCAGTCTTGGGAGTAACCTTAGCAAGCTCAAAATTTTCTTTGAGTTTTTCATTTTCTTTTAGAATTTGCATCTGTCTTTTCTCTAAGATGCATATCTGGTCCATTAGCTTTGAGGTTAAGGTTATATCAGCTCCTCTGTCTCTTTGTTGAAGATTTGGAATTTCCTCTATAGTAGTTAAAGACAGAAATTACTGGTTGATGTGACAATCTCCTCCTCCTTTTGATTCTCAACGTGGTTGAGGGACCTAGGACTACTCTGAGAGTTCATCATTGTGTTAAATTTTTGGAACATGTCTTTGCACATCTTATTTGCTGTGTTATTAATCTCTTCTATTGCCTTCTTAGCCTCTTCTAAATTGTTATCTTTTTCGAGGATTTGATCTGTCAGATAAGCAATATCTTCTCTTAATCGCGAATTGGCTCCTTCAAGGGAAGTATTCTGATCCATGACATCATTAATCTTCTCTTTTAGAGTTAGAATAGTCATCTTTGCATCTTTATACTGAGAATTCAAAGCTTCTAACTCTTCAGCACCCTGATCAAGATTCTCAGACAGTGTATTTAGACGATCCTGGCATCTAAAATATTCTGTCTGGAAGTTAACTTTCTCTATTAAACTCTGTTGAAAGGACTGAAGCTGTCCATTAATTCTGTCAATCTCGCTCTGCTTATATCTAATATCTTCAGCTTGCTTTTCGAGTTTTTCTTGAAGTTTTTCAAGCTCGCTTTAAATTTAAAACCCAAAAATACCTGCTTTCAAAATCATATTTTTCTTGTTGAGTCTGGTAAGCAATATTCAGTTCGTTTTTAATGGAACTTTCAATTGAAATATCTTTCTCTAAGATTTCATTCTGTTCTGATAATTTCTGAATTTCTTCTTCTAAGTCTTGAATGAGTTGCTTGAGTTCGGAATTTTCATGCTCTACTTCGTACTTCTGAATAGCCATATTGTGACACTCATTCTGAATAGTTTTGACCTCCTTATCATAATTCTCCTTTAGCTTATCAAAAGAGTTATTGCTCACAGTTAAAGCTTTGTTGAACCCGTCGACCTCCTGCTCTTTTGACTTAAGAAGTCCCTTGAGATAAGAATTCTTTAGTTTGAGGTTCTCAATTTCTTGTTTAAGAATCCTCTCACGACCTTGGGATTCTAATAAGTCCAGATTTATATTTTCCCGCTCTTGTTCTGGGCATTCTCTTTTCCAAAACAACTTCTCTCATAATCGGCCAATTGCTCTTTAAGAGCTTGATTGAATTTCTCCAGGTCCTGTATTTGACTTGTTTTGTAATTAATTTCTAAGTCCTTTGAGCTAATAATTGCAGTGCATTCTTTTATATTAGACTTAAGCCCATCAATTTCATCATTAGCACTCTTGAGTCCTCCTTCAAGCTGATTCTCGTCCTCGATTGGGGATAAGGAGACATTAGATACCCTCTTGCTACCACTGGTGTTAATCTGAACCTCTTCTTGTGACCTTCAGATCTCTTCTAGATATTCTAGAGTCATTCTGTTCAGATTTGAAACAGATAAAAGAACTCCCTCGAGTTCTAATCTTTCAAGTTTTCAGTCTCCGTTGATTTCCTGAATTTGGTTCTCGAGTTTGGAATATTTTGTTTTGGAACCTTCGAGCTCAGGATTATTAGATACTTTATTCTCTAGGAGCTCATTTTCTTTCCTCAGAAGATCAATCTGATTATTTCTGTAGTCTTCAAGGTCGACCTCTGAGCTATTTTCGAGTTTAGCAATCGTCTTGCCGCGAGAGGATATTAACATCTGCTCTTTCTTCGAGAGCTCATTATATTCCTCAAGTATGGCCTCTAGCTTTAAAATGTTGGCATTCTTCTTATCTATTTCCTGTTGGAATAATCTATCCTTTTGAACAGATTGTTCAAGACAAAGTTTAACTAAGTACTGTATTTTTTTCACTTTTTCCACAAGTTTTGCATCTCCAGTGACTTCTTCAGAACCAAGCTTAGAGACCATGGAAGGAGAGAAGATTTGAAACTGTGTCCTTGGTTGGGCTTCCATGTGATTATTTTATTTTGCTCTTTTCTAACATAGACTCGCTAACTCTATCCTTTGCCCCAGGATTTTTATATTTTCCCTCTTCTTCACCCAAGTCGCAATTCGAAGAGGCTCTTTCTAATTCAAGATCATGGATTCTGATATTGAGTTTTGCTATTAAGCTTTTCATTTGGGTCACATTTGCAGAAGAATCATCATTAATAACAGCTTTGTTCTTGATCATCTTAGCACTTTTGGCAAACTTCAGTGTAAAATTAGTTTCAAGAAACGAGCAAGAAGCTGGTGAGACATTAGCAATCATCAGTGTCTTTGAATTCCCTCCAAGCGAGTTTCTGAGTAAATTTGTAAGTTTTGAACTTCTGTACTCAACAAACTTCTTTCTGCCCAAATGGTTTTGTGTTAGACTATTGATTACTCTGCAAAGGGTTGATAAACTTTGATTAATATTTTTAGCCTCCTCCAAGACCATTCCTTCAGCTCCTGTTTTGCTTGCTCTCTCGCTGCCTGCAAGATCGACAATGTGGAAAGAGGATTTTGTGACATCAGAAAGACCTTCCTGCAGCTTTTTAATCTCTATTCTTAAAGTCATCACAGCATGTGAGCGTGAAGAGTTCTCGTTCATTTTAGTGGAACTTATATGTCTGTTGAGGGTTCCCTTTTTAATGATTTGGCTCATTTGGGCTGCAGATGTGACGATTTCTTCAATGGCTGCTTCTACATAAACTCCTCTCTCCATACTCTCCCTTAGCTTGAGAACAGGTGTCAAAGGGTCGAGTAGATCTTGTATCTGTTCATTATAGATTTCTAGATAAGAGCATTTGGCTAAATATTCAAAATCGTTTTCTTTCACAAGGCGATTTAAGTTATAAAAGATATGCTCGAAAGATCGAGGCATGATGCCTTTGCTTTCGCTTTGAGTATTGTTTTCATTGGTAGGCCCTTGGATGGTGAACGTCTTTCCAGAACCAGTCTGGCCATAAGCAAAAATAGTTCCATTGTAGCCGGCAAGTCAATAATCCACTATTTCTTTCCCGACTAGAAAATTTACAGTCAAGTCTTACCTTGATTGAAGATTTCCTTCTGTGACTTTGTATGATCTGCTACGTAATCGAACTTGAAAGTATTTGATGACTAAAATTCATTAATATTCTTACCATTTTTGAGCTCTGAGGCTTCTTTGTAGTACCTAGTTTTTGTTCGAGTCTAATTTCTTTATCATTCAAGACTTGTATACATTCTTGCAATCTGTAGGTTAAACTTTGCTTTACTCATTCTCTTTTGAATTGAGAGGACGCACTCTTACTGCGACCTTTATATTATCCTTGCAAGACATATGGAATTATTCTACAAAAACAATGAGCTTATCAAATCCAAAAAGAGGTAAAACTCCCAACAAAATGTTCAATAAACTCAAAAATTCCTTTAAAATGTCTAACTTCCCTACTTGGGCCCTTCTAACGCCATAAACTAGTATTAATTTCAAAAAACTCCGAGGTGTCCTAAAATTTTCATCTTCAAAACAAGTCCCTCATTTTTCTTTACCCTTAAAGTTTAAATATTCAATGTCTGGATGAACAGACGGGGTTTTGGGGTTTTGGGGTTTTGGGG